GCAAAAGTAGATTTAATTGTTTTGTATTTAATTTTTAAATGAACTAACCTTTAACACCAAAATCATTTTTATTTACAATAAATTTAATTGGATTAATTAATTATTTCAAATTTAAAATATACTTTATTTTTGAGAGTATATAAATATAAAAAAGTACTGACTAATATTAATCAAAAATATCAGTTGTTAAATTTATATTATAATTTGAATATCAAACGTTTATATACATACACTTGATGTGTATTTTATTTCAAAAATTTTTAATTATTTAAAACTTTTTATTTATCAAATAATATTTTTAAAATATTGTTAGAAACATTGTCAGCACATGCAATTATATCATTATGTTATTTTTTATCAATAATATGTAGAATTTAATATATAAATTTTACAAATTAAACATATAACAACTCCACCTGACTAATGTAGTACATGATCACAATTAATTTAAAATGAGAAGTGTCACATCAAAATAATTACAATTATTTTTTAATATACATCCCATTGTTTTATATATATAATTTAAATATTGCTTTTGTTTATGTTGTTATTATATACATCAAAATTACACAAAATGTTAATGTGATTGTATTTGGTTATTTTTATTTATCGAACAAACTTAAAAATGTCATTTTGTTGAATATTTTGTGTTTATTTATGCACACAAAGGCAACTTATAAATAGAACTTGTACGTCAAAGTTTTAGTAATTATTACACATCGTAACAAGATGATAGAAGTTACATTTTTATCACACCAAAACTTCCAAAACAATTCACTCAATGTCAAATGTTCAAATTAAAGTGAAAACTTGTCAACTATGATTTAAATTAAAACATTCTACGAAATTGCGTTTACAACAAAAAAAAATTTCTTTTGTAAATTTGTTAAACAAAAATACTATTTTTTATTGAAAAACAATAATTTATATACAGAAAGTGAAGGAATAAAATAACAATCGATTGCTTAATATAGGGGGTTCGAGAATTATGTTTTATTGTTTTGGGGGTTATAATCTTTGGTCAATAAAACTAAAAAAATATTTAAAAAAATAAACCATATTAGATTATTTTTAAATTCGACTTTGATAAAGAAAAATAAGTGGGGATGAAGTAAAATCCTTTTTACCTGTTTACCAAAAAAAGAAAAATTGGTAAAATATTTCTCCAATTTACGATCTTAAAGATCCCTATATTTTAAAAAACATTTTTATTAGAAATCAAAAATGTATTTACATTTTGCATTTTCACTAATTTAAATTTAATAAAATAGAGTCAATCGATAAACGTTGTCTGTTTCCCAAACGTTGTCTTTTTGACAAAAAAATAATTGATTTTTGTTTCAAAAAACGGGAATTGGGTAAAAATGAAAAAAACTGGGAAAAATATTGAAACAATGATTTTGGGGTTTTTCAAAAAAATTCCCGAAATATTCCATTTATAATGGTCTAAAAATCGGCAGACAACGTTACAGACCAGACAACGTTTAGGAAATGACTCTAGTTTTTCGATTTCTGATAACATTTCATTATTATTGCAATTGATGTTAAAAAAATGAATAAAAACAGAAAAACTAAAAAAATCCAACAATAACCAATATTATTAATTTGATTTTTTATTTTTTTTTGAAAAAAAAATATTTTAAATGTTATTATTGTTGTTTTTTAATAAATATAAACATGTTTTATGAGAAAATAATTTTATTTCATCCAAATTTGATACGTTAATACAAGTGAAAACAACATAAAAATAACAAAATTTTATTTTGGAATTGACAAACAAATATATTATTATTTGACACACATTATAAAAACGATAAACACTTTTTGTTTCAAATTATTTATTATCATTTACAACCATATATCATTTTAAACTAAAAGATCATTCTTATCAATTAATGAAATGAAAAGAATCATAGATTGTATGTAAGTGATATTTGATTTCTGTTTTTGAACTTATTTCGAACAAACATTATTTACATACAATAAAAGGAATATTGTCTAGTAAAAATATGCCTTTCATGTCATATTTTTAATAAATATTGCAAAACAATGTTACTTGACATAATAACTCACAAATTTAAGTTGTTGTTTTTTTAAAAAATATGTCCGATAGATAAAATCGCAATAATATAATCATTGGTAATATATTTTAATTATCATAAATATAACGATTTAAATCCATAATTATTATATTATAATTGTTTTGTTTTGAAATATAATGTTTTAAATTATAATAAGTATTTTTATAAGCATTTTTTAAAACAAAATAAACAGATGGTTACAAATTATTGTTAGAGTTAATTAATCCAAAACGCGGTTAGATGTTGTAAACTGTTTTTCAAAACTCTGTACTGGGATGCCCCGATTTTTCAGACAAATAATTTACAAATAATTTTTCCTTTGCTTAACCCTCATTTTTGTTTAAAATATTCACTCAAAAAAACGAAATAACGAACTTGAATTTTTTAAATTTTATTTGACAAATAAATCTTGCACCAAAAATTTACTTGAAATTATAAAAAACAAACTTAGAATTAAAATTTTGATTACCATAACACAAATATTGCCAAAAAACGGAAACGCGACTTTATGATTAAATGTCCATGTAAACAGAATCACCAAGTTGTGTTTTGGATAAAAATGAAAAGTACCAACGAGTAAAACAAGCATTGAGAGAAGATAAATAGGTTAAGACAATATAATTAAAAAGTTTTTTATTTTTGAACTGTTTATTTTATTTAAAACTATTTTGATTAATAACTTTAGTTGTTTAAATGTTTGTTATATGTTATTTGATGGCCATTTTTCAATTGTTGAAATAAACCAAAAATAAGTATTAATTAAAGTGGTGTAACATTTGATGCAATAATGTTTTTCATTACATCATTTGGGTTATGGTATATTATCGGTTATCCTATGTTTGTTTGAAAATAGAATATACTCATGTTTA